AGCTTTTTTCACGGTATTGCTATAGCCTATAGTGAATCTGTGATGCCAGTGGTCATATACATGACCAATGCTTTTTCCGTTGAGCAGAGATAAGCTGAAGGGTCACAGCCTCACAGGTGATGGTCGCGCTGCTGCGACTTTGTCATGGAGAGATGCATTCGCTATGTGTGAGAACACGGTCTCGTTCATCTTTCATCTTTGTGATTGTGTTTGTGGGGGCTCTCTTCCATGGCGTGGTGTAGTCGGTGTATTTTTATGGATTGTGGGTGCTTGTAGGATATCATGATCTAATCTGTGATCTTAAGGGGTGTGACTTACTTCTTGTATGATGAATTCCATCTGTACTTCGTACTTTGGCAGAGCACTGCAGTTGTTCCTTAGACTGGGTTATGTTTTCGGTTTAGCATTTGTGAACCTTGTGGGCCCCATAGTCGTTGATGCCTCCTAGAATATTGCTTGGCGCCGTTGGCGGACTCGGAGCTCGAAGTCAAAGTAGACATAAGTAGACATAACCATGGTTATGACTGGATTAGTCATGACTGATTTATCCGTGTTGCAAGTGCTTTTTTTTTTTGCTTTTTTTTTTTCTTTCTATCGGAGTGGGCATGCCAGTCCCCTTTTTTGGTTGTCGCCAGCTATTGGAATGGGTTTTCTGAAAGACCTGTGCCTTGTTGTTGTGGACAGCTATTGGAATGGGTTTTTTGAAAGACCCTTTTTGGTGTTTACATGATGATGATGATGATGATGCCGAATGTGTTGCGGATTGTTGTGCTGATTCTTTGGCCCAGTACATTGGCCGAATCTTATGTTGGCGATGATGATGGCGGGGGATGAGATGGAAGAGGAGAATGAGGTCAGTGAGAAGGAGGTGGGGATGGAGTCCGCGGAGGAGGATGAGGAGAAATAGATGCTATGTTTTGACTGTTCCCCGATTGGAATGTAAAGTAGGTCTGCATGCTATGGTTTATCTGTCCCAGGAGGGGGAGGAGGAGGAGGAGGAGGAGGAGGAGAGTGAGGGCGATGGAGGATGAGGAGAATGAGGAAGGATGAGGATGAGGTATATGGAGGATGAGGATGAGAATGAGGTCGATGGAGGACGAGGAGAATGAGGATGATGGAGTATGAGGAGTATGACGTGGAGGGAGGATGAGGATGAGGACTTTAGAGGACAATGGAGGGCGAGATGGAGGGGGAGGAATACATCCTAAGACTGTTCCGTGAATGGTATGTAAAGGTCTACATGCAATGGGTCAGGACTTTGTAAACAAAACATGGAGTCCGACCTAGTTTTGCCTCCTGTTTTTGAATTCTTTTATTTCTTTAGGACTGTTTTGTTTTTTTGAAGGATCAAACTTTATTGATATGAAAGCCGGGAACTGGGACCCGCCGGCGTCCTTGCTGCAGCTATGTGCTGAGCGAGGCTCTCTGCCCAGGCAAAGCTTGTGCCACGACTCTTTGAGCAACTACAATCCGTTCTTCTCATTTTCTCTTTTTTTTTTTTTTTTTTTCTTTTTTTTAAGGTTCTTATTGTATTGCAAGAAAATAAATGGGACGAGGCCGGGGACCTCACAATTCGACCGGGAGTTATCCTGGCAGCCTCAGCCAGTTTCGCTTACGAGCCAAGCTCTCAGACCTACCAACTATTTATTTATTTATTTATTTATTTATTTATTTATTTGGAAAGTTTCAATATGTATTGCAAAAATAACAATGGGACGAGGCCGGGGACCTCACAATTCAATCCGGAGTTATCCTGGCAGCCTCAGCCAGTTTGGCTTACGAGCGAAGCTCGCAGACCTACCAACTGTTCCAGATTTTATTTATTTATTTATTTATTTATTTATTTATTTATTTATTTATTTATTTGTTTATTTTTTGGAAAGTTTCAATATGTATTGCCAAAATAACGATGGGACGAGGCTGGGGACCTCACAATTCGACCCGGAGTTATCCTGGCAGCCTCAGCCAGTTTCGCTTACGAGCATATTAGCTGGATTCCAATCAACTGGTCAAAGTAACTCCTCAGTCCTAGCTGGAAACAGGGTCCAGCGTCCCATTCTACACCGAAATACTTTCCAAAAAGCAAACCTTCGTCGATTTTCCGAAGTTTGCCTTTAAGCTCAGAAATAGGGGCTGTCCAAAAGAAATAACTTTTAAGCTCTGACAGCAGTTTAAAAAACCGTAATACTCCCATGCGGACCTAGACTCGGTCCTACTTAATCATGTGTATCTGACAACCATGAGCATATGGCCAAGCGACCATTTTGGTCGATAGAAGCTAATCTGGTACCCGTGCCGAAGTTCTCTGAAACCACACAGAATTCTTCTGTTTCCAGTCGGCCATAATTATTCTCCTTATTGATTGATGATCTGGCGTTAGGCTACTAGAGTATGTGCAGGCTGAGTAGGAGGCTCATGTAGGCGTACACATCATAGCTAGAGAGACTACACTGTTGTTGCATCGGTTCTTCAAGTTGGAGGCACAAAGAGGGCTTTCATTGTCAAGAGACTTTAATGTTCAGTGTCTTCTTGGGAAAAAAAAAAAAAAAAAAGATCTGGCGTAGTTGCTGTATACTGGCTGTGTCCTCGCCCTTGAACAGCCTAGAGTTCCGGGCCGCCCAGATGGTTGCCGTCACAACCCCTCTGCAGCACAGGGCCACCTATCCCCACCCCGAAGCATAGCACTTTTCAGTAGTAAGAATACTAAGGATACCTGTGAGCATCTAAGTGTCCTACCACTCCAACTCTTTCCCCACTATCTTATCCCAGTGTCGTTTCCACCAAACCAACAACACCTCATCCACCAGAGGACAGTATAACCAGAGGTGGATCATGTTCTCCCATCCCCAGTTACACCTAAGATATTGCGTTGGGACGTCCGTTCCTTTATCTGACAGCCACATAGCAGTAGCCGTCACCGTCATAGATTGGAGCCACATTATACCTGCGTGTTTTTGAACTGGGAGCCTTATAAGAGCCTTCCAGAACTTATATAATCCCTGTTCCGATACCCCTGACAACTGTTGGAATTCCACTCGAGCTACTGCAAGGTTTTTATCGTTGTTTTTTTCAGTCGGCTCTGCAGCAGCCGGACACCCACTTTCGGACCTTGCTGACAGAGTGGAGTGAAATCTTCCCTCCCTTCTAGGAGCTTCCACCCCAAGCCCAATGGTTCAACCCTGTATTGATCAGCATCTCGAAGCAATGTAGCAGCAAGTTTTCCCTTTTTGGTACTCCGACTGTAGACTCTTACTTCGATCATATCGCTTTTATCTTCAATCCTGCAATCTGCTTCCTCCAGGGCGAGTACTCCTGAAGCAGTCCTGCTCGAGAGTTTCCACCGCTGTACTCGAGTCTCTGACGAGAGATCTGGACCTAGTATCCGAATGACTCTGCCAGGAGGTGCCTGGTCTCAAGCTAGGTCCATGTACAGCCAGGGGGTCCAGCATTTGTAAAACGCTGGACCCCCTGGCTGTAAAACGCTGGACCCTCAGGAACAGCAAGTTTTGACGAGTTTTGGGCCAAAAACTCGGTGTCAATTTCGTTCAAAAAAAAAAAAGAAGTCCATTTTGACGAAATGGYCGTTCAGGGTTGTTACTCTACCGTAGCCATGTGCCTGCCGCATGCTCTACTCCTGGTTGTAGGCTTGTAGCAGATTAACCCATCCTCTACGAATAGCCTCAGTAAGCTCAGAGTAATTCTTGTTCACATTATGAAGACGTGTGCGAGCATGTGCCTGATCTGCGCTGGCTCCTTGAGCCTGTCCTGCTCCGCATCCCAGATGTCTTTCAATTGTAGGATTCCTTTCGTCTCATCTTCTACTCTACCAGTTCTACATTGTTTTCTACAGTTTATTCAAATTATTCTAACGTTACCTGCACCAATCTTTTTTTTTTTTTTTTTTTAAMAAAACAACCCCCGCCAGTGATAGTGGTGCTGGTAAGAGCAGACACCACTAGCAACATGCACTTCGTGAAAACTGGACCGAAACGAAAGTCCAGTTTGCCAAACTATGCTATACCCTTTTCGGAAAACTAGTTTTTACGATAAGATTTTGAACTCAGGTTTAAATGCCACAACAAGACCACAAAAAACTGTTTTTTTTCGAGAACACAGTTAGCCCAGTGATCCATTAACCTTGGCAACAAAGCAGGAAACAGTTTATTAAAAAAAATCGAAGGCACCCGAAGAAACGACCTCAGTACCATAATAGTTTTCTGGAAAATTTGAGGTCGTCAAGCAACACAGCCGCGAGAACATAAACGAAACAAAAAGTGGTTGGACTCTAGAAAGGACAGAAGAGCAAAGAAACCAATTCCCAATTGACAACACTTGGATTGAGCAAGCAACACACTAATTAATCAGATGAGCTGATCGAGCTGCCAATTTTTCAGTTCATTGCAAGTACAACTTGCAATAAGCCGCCCATGCTGCAAATCCCAACAATCATGCAGACCGCCAAGAGTCATCCAAGCAAACCACGAAGAGCAGGTGGACAGGTTCCCATGTAGTAGGCAACAATGGCGGAACAAGCTCATACATAGCAAGAGACTAATGATTGAACATAGCCTACAGACAACACGACCACCGCAAAGACACCAATGTCTCAATAGCAAAGTAAGCATGCCGCAGTCAAGTCAATGAAATCCACGTGGACCGAGTGGAGGGTCTGCATCAACTCATGCATGCCTCGAAGCCTCAGGCGTGCCGCCAACCCTCTGCCACTGTGCGGCCCCGGGTATCGATCTCCTTGGCGGCACTCTCAACGAAGTCTCTCCCTGCCAACCTTGCCCTGATCCCCCTCACACAACGCAGGTCGTTCTCAACGACCAACACATGTCTCTTGGACAACAGTGTTGCAATGGCTCCAGTCCCTGATCCTGAGAAAGCATCTACTATGTATGAGTCATTCGGTTCAAAAAACTTCTTGATCAGCCATTCATACAAAGAAATGGGTTTCTGGTAGGGGCACAAAATCTCGTTGTCTGCAGCAAAAGTGTACTTCCTCACCACCGCATTGTGATTCCAGCAGGTCATTCTGGTGTCAGAGTCGATGAACTGAAACTGAATGGGCTCCCTGCAGCCGCTCTCACTATGAAAACCAATAACACAATGCTGCCAACAGTTAGTGAGCTTGACACCTGCAGAAGTAGAAACGTTGGGAGCCACCCAAATGCCCACCTCCACCCCACAATTGCAAGCACTTGAGAATGCGAATTTCACATCAGTGAGCATGTTTGATGAGCAGAATCCAGCCATGACCCAATAGGGTGCACATGTGATCTTCTTGAAACTCGCAATGCTGCCCTCTATCTGGGGCTTCCCGAATGGCTCCTCATCATCCATAGAATCCTCTGCGTTGTAGCCGCAAGGGAAGTCCATAATGCACAAGGTGAAGGGGAGTCTGTCCTGCACTTTCTCAGGTAGCTGAAGCATGTCACAGTGCGCCACCTTCACGGTTCCCCTGTAGCCCTCCCCCTCGAAAGCAGTCCAGTTTGTCAGGAGGCCCTCAGGATCTTGTATTGCTGCAGTTTGCTCCTCTTGCTGTGAAAGGCGCAGCTTGTCTTTGTAGTTGAGGACCTTGGCAATGTACAGCTGCATAGCAATAGGAGTCTCCTTGACATTCCTCTCATACAACCCATAGTATTGCGACAACATAGCCTCCTGCGTATGCACCGGGAACTCCTCTTTGGCAGCCTCCCAACTGTCTGCCCCGACCCCTTCCACGAAAGCAATCACTGTCCTCTGACGAATCTTGAGAAGCGTGAACTTGTTGTTCATCTCGTCAAGCGACAGGACCCCGCTCTTAACTTCTGTGAGAACAGGGATCACCAAAGCATCATTAAGCCCAGTCATCCCCAACAGAGGCTTGTAAGGCATATTTGCAGACTCACTCACTATCTCATTCTTCTCAGACACGTTCATCAGAGGATTGAGCGTCATGAGAGCAAGGCGTTCCTGGGAAACATTCTTCGTATTCCGTTTCTCTGGCCTCCCACCCTTTTTCCCTTTCCCCGCCTCACCCTTTTTCCCTTTCCCCACCTCGCTGTCAGATGCACTTGACTCAGCAACCTCAAGAGACCTGGCCTGCTTGCCACCCACGCCCTTCTTCATCTTCACAGCTTTGATCTTAGCCTGCTCCCACAGAGTGAAAATGTCAGAGAGCAAGCCCCACACCTCTGGTCCTTTCATGCAAATCTTAAGCTGAAGATTCAGGGGACCAATCTAGTTCCATGAAAATGTTGGGATACCGAGCGCCTCCAAGCATGCATTTTTCGCCTCGTTCGTTTTCTCACACCCCAGCCTCTCAAACACGTCCCTCCAGCAGCACATCCTCTGAACGAAAGTCAACTTTTTGTGATACCCAACAGCATTGTTGTGCTCATGGCCAATCAGCAGGGATTCCTCCACAGTAAGTCCCACGTACACATAGCAGACATTCCTCTTGTAGAAGTCAACCTGAGGGTGCTTCACCATCAAACGGCTCCGTGCCTCACGACAGTGACCGGCGCCCAAAATCCAGATGGTGTAGCCGCCTGAGCGAAGTTTTTACAGGTCCACCTGATCAACGGATGTGCACTCGGCGAAATCAATCATGCCCACCCAAGGCAAGTGGTCCCTACAAGGAGCCCTCTCCATAGACGCCATGAGAACCCTAACATGGTACTCTGCAGGGAATCTAACCTCCCTTGATCTTCGTCCATCGGGAGTGTCCACATGAGGTCGGTCCATACAAGACATTGGCAAACTCAAGATATTTGCAGTTACCTTTTTCGCATTCAAGGTAACAAGCCTACTCCACATCCTCTGAAGAGGCGTCATTCCCGCAGACTCTGGTTCAAGATCCACGGCAGCAGTGGCAGTGCCTGCGAATCTCTTCCCCTTACCACTAGATCCCCCACTTCCCTTGCGAGTCTTTTTGTGTCGCCCTTCTGGAGTGCACTCGTTTGTAACAGGCAGCTTAGTAGCAATGGTTTTCTTCCTTTTTTGATATTGTTGCTGCTGTTGCTGTCCTACGGACTGCGCAGGTTGTCGCCTAGGTGCAGCCATGCTTGTATTGAGAAGCACTTAGGGCTGCCGACATGAGGGTCCCTCATGAGATTGCCTGTTTGAAGGTCCTCTACCGGTGTCCGCAGACCGCACCTGGGACACCGCCGGTGTCTGCTGAACGGGAGCAAGACCAGAACCAGGCATTTGCGAAGAGGAAAGGAAAACATTGCCAACAGGATGCGGCACATTACGAGGCACACCCATCTGCGTTGAAGGATGAAAGACACCACCACCAGACACAGCAGGGAGGGGCGAAGACTGAACACCCCCAGAAATCTGGCGGTTTGTCATGAAAGTGGTGTAGTAGAAGGCGACGTAGGTACCCAGCGTATTGCAGAACACCTGCCAAGGAGAAAGAGAAACAACTGCACCGAACAGACAACCAGTCAGGCAATCTGCTGAGGCAAAAGGAACGAATCTATAAAAAGAAACAAACATAGGAAGAACTACCTCAGCCAACTAAAAGGAAAAAAAAAAAAAAAAAAAACGCAAGAGAGAGGTGCAATTGATTGATTGACTGATAGTTTGGCTGATTGGCTCATTGGTTCTTTCATTGGCCCCCCAGAGGGAGGGGAGCAGCGAAGGGCAACAGAGCAGATGGAGGCGGGGGAGCAACGGGGGCGGTGAGGAGGGGGAGCAGAGGCACCCAGTGGGTCAACAAAACAAGTTTGGAGGTCGGGGTTAGCAGTAGAATGACCGTTGTGCATGCGCAAGAACAAACAATGAGCTGACATGGACATCTGTGACATTGTATTGCACAGGGACGCCGGACACCGCTTACAGCAATTGTTGCTCCCCACCAACAGATGGAGCCTTGTCAATTCCGGAAAAAAAAAAAAAAAAAAAAACAGAGAAAAAAAGAACTTGAAAACAAAAAGGGAACGACTCGTGGAGACACCTGCATGGGAAAGTGATTTGTGTCACTACCCTGTCTCGGTGTCTCCACGGGTCGATTTCCGATTGGAATCGATTACGTAAGCGATTCCAATCGCGAATCGATGAGAAATGCGCCTGCAGGGGGCAGTGATGCAGATCATTGCACCCTCCACGCGCGTTTCTCATCGATTACATAATCGATTCCAATCGGGAATCGATCGGAAACGCGCCTGGAGGGGGCAGTGATGCAGATCAGTACCCCATCCAGGCGCGTTTCCGATCGATTCTCGATTGGAATCGATTACGTAATCGATTCCAATCAGGAATCGGTTGGAAACGCGCCTAGAGGGGGCAGTGATGCAGATCACTGCCCCCTGCATCAC